CTTCTCATTCACATCTTCCTCCTCTTCTCGTTCCCTCTGCCTCCTCTTCTCATTCTCTCTTCCTCCTATTCCCATTCTTTCTGCCTCCTCTTCTCATTCTCTCTTCCTCCTCTTCCCATCTTCTCGACTCCCTCAAGCACCAACTGCGATGCTTCCTCTTCCATTCTCTCTCCCCTCTCCCCTTCCCGGCAGGACCTATCATGCTATAGTTCTCTGACATGATTCCTGATATGACAAACGAGCCCAAAGGGGTGTATTGAGGGTGTTGGCTGTGTTCTCCCCCTTCACCAATGGCCAGGTAATGGGGCCTCTCGGTGCTAATTGCCAGGTTTGTTTGTTGTGTTGGAGAATTGCGCCTAATGGTCTTGTCTGAGGCCAATTACTGACTAATTCACCGGATCGTCGACTGCATCATCGCTTATTCATTGCATAACTGCTTTATTGTCATTGTTTTTATACGATAACTCCTCGGCTTTGATAATTTAACGTCTCTTCCCCTGAGTTGTGTTCTGTTTAGGTCATTTTTAAGGTCCTGTGTGAACTCTGTGACCTATTCCAGACCTTTTCCAGACCAGCGATCTATATAAGGTTATTCAGGGCTGCAAGTAATCATTTTCTTTGCTTGGTCTTGAAGTCGGATGAATGATGACCTTGACAATACTGTAATCAGAGTGGTGTTTGAATACGCCCAGGCACTTGTGATTCATCTTTTAGTTTGTATTTAAGCTGACGAGTTCCTGGTAACAGATTTACGGCTCCCATAGCTTAGTTTATGAGTGGCACACGGGGCGAGGAGCTGGTGTAATCACGACAGAGCGAGCAATCACGCGAACACCATCCCTTTATGGGGATTACTGAGGCAAGACCCGCTTATTAGTTATCAATATACCACTGCTGCTGCGTCGGGCCGGGGATGTTTTGGATCTCATGTGAGTATTATCCTCACCTTACCACCGCATCCTGTTTGGTTTTTTTTTTTTTTTTGGGGGGGTGGGATCAGGGAATCTGTATTTTATTTTGCTTCGTTCTATCACACTGTTATCAGGGGACTTTTATTCTTGAATTACACTTGATTAGACATTCATACCGGTTACTGCCCCATACGTAGACTTAGCCAGAAGTTAACTGGAGTTGTTGATGTAAACATTTCTTACATTCAAGTTAGAAAAGTTTCTTTACCTAGACATTCCTACGACTAGATTTCTAGAGCAAGTCCTGTTCTCGACACGATCTTGACCAGAGGCAGAAGGGTTCGTGTTCTAGACGTACTACTAACTAGATGTCCAGGTCATGCACACTGGTATTTATGGCGCAATAACCTGTCTCGGACCTTAATTTAGAGTAATGCCAAGAATTACGGTAGTAATTGGCACCATTACCCCATATTGCCAGCTGCCTGTTGACTCGCTCTCATAATGAAATGTTATGTATCACGTCTTTAGCACACTAGTGATGGCTTACATACATTCCCCGAGAACTTCCCTTTAATAACCTAAACATACAGGTAGTCCGTACAGCTCTTAGTACATTGTCTATCACCTTTCACCTGGGTTCTTTCAGCCACACTTTCCTCCTTAATATCACTTACGTTTTTTATTATTTATTCCTATTCGTCAAATATCTTCCAAAATCCATTTATTAATTTCGTTATTAAGTATATCTATACAACATTCACATTGAGAAACATTCAGCTACTTGGAAAAATAAACACAAATTCGGTTTTCATGGCGCTGGATGTAGAGGACTAGAATGTGATCCGCTTACGTAAACTGACTCGGGTTGAGACGTTCCCAGGAGCCAGTGTGGATCTTCAACGTCATACTGAGGAATATGTCAACTGGGACGAGGTAAACACGACCACACAAGTACATGATGACGAGGGGTCTTGTATGTACCCCACCCCCACCTCTCTCTCTCTCTCTCTCTCTCTGTACCCACAATGACGGGATCGCGTGAGTAAGGCAACCAGTCCTGTCAGTAACCAACCATATCTTTAACTCAGTGTTTACAGTCAGCTTCTTCCCCACTAGACACTCCGTATAATTGGCTTAAATGATTAAGGTCACTGGTTAAGGTCACGGGTCAAGGTTACAGGTTGAGGTCACTGGTTAAGGTCACAGGCCAAGGTCACCGATTAAGGTCACTAGTTAAGGTCACAGGTTAGTGTTACAGGTTGAGGTCACTGGTTAAGGTCACAGGCTATGGTCACGTGTTAAGGTCATAGGTCAACGTCATAGGTTAAGGTCACAGGTCAGTGTTACTGGTTAAGGTCACATACCACAAATGGCATCACACTAGGGCGGAGTTTACTATTTCGTGAGTGAATAAAAATATTTAAAAAAATCCGAGTTGAACTAAAAATGTCATTGAATATATATTAATAAAGGTTTAAAGCCTCGGTGGAAACATTTCCTCCTATATAATATTATGCTAATTACATGCATTTAAAATTATGACTTTGAAAAATTCATCCTGTATGTAGTGAAGCAATAAATTACATCATGAATATGGATGTTGTCAAATATTGCACATGTGTCTTGCAATACAGAGTTATAATTCCTTTAATACTGTATGTCTGTTTCACTCTCAAGAACTGTTACATCAGAAGTATTATAATAGTGAATTTGTCATTATAAAAGATAATCCGTAAGTGGTGTCTTGTGATGCTACAGGTGTTTTTGTTGTCCTGGGAACTTAAAGGCTTTGACGGGTCTGTGTCGTGTCCGTAGGGAATATATTAACTTTAGGTTACTTGTTGTAGATGAAAGCAAATATATTCTTGGTACTGTGTCAGTTTTTTGTTTTGTTTTTGTTTAGCGTGATGAATAGACTTTGTTCCGTGATTTCTCTTCTCTTTCCTTCTCTCTCTTACTTTCTCTCTCTCTTAATTTTACTCTTTTTCTATCTCTCTTACTGCCTCTTACTTTTTTCTCTATCTTACTCTTCCTCTGTCTCTCTCGGCTAGTTTCCCTGCCGTGTAAGAAAGACACAAGTAAATTCTCATACAAGAAGTAATATGAATTCCTGCCCTTTTCTGCAGTCACGGAGCGAATTTGCAACTATTGCTTTAGGGATGCGGGTTTTATTGGAGTTTTGTCAGTGTGCTTGCTTGACTGCGCCACTCAGACCAGTCATAAGAGGACACTGACGGGAGAGACACGGAGATGAACTACTACTTCTTCTTCTTCCTGCACGAGTATCTTCAGGGTTATGTCTTCCTCCTCCTCCTGCTCTTCCTCCTCTTGCCCCCCCCTCTCCTCTCCTTTTCACATTTTCTAGCCCCTTTTTCTCCCGTCATTCTCCATCTCCTTCCCTGTTTCTTTCCCCCTTCATTATCAGTCCCATTCATCCTCCTCCTTCCTACGTCCTCCTCCCCCTTCTTCTCCCCTTTTTCTTCCTATCAATCCTCTTCTCCTCCCCCCTCGCCTTTTTCTTCCCTGTTCCTCCCTCCCCCTCCTCTCTCTCCTCTGAAGGCTGGAGAACCATCTACACAAAACCTTCTCTTTTTTCCCTCTTGGTCTGTGACGCAAATCTTATTGGTCCTGTTGAGTGTGAGGACTAAGAGCAGTTTTTTCCCCCTTTCCTCCAGATCTCATAAAGAACCAGAACTTCTTGCCATCGTTCTTGCTTGAGTCGTATGCTGTGGGGTTTTTTTTTTAATTTTTTTAGGTCGTGAGGATTTTTTTTTAATAAGTTTACTTTAGATTTTGTTTTATTATTTCAGTTTATTTTTTTTATTTATTTTTTTTTAATCTGTCTTTACCTTCCATCTCTTTTAGTGAGTTTATTTTTTAATGTTTTTTTATTTTCTTTTATCATTATTCGTATCGTGTTGTCTGTCTCGTATGTAAAATTGTTTCTTTTAAACTGTGCTGAAGAAACTCTGTCCGCTTGTGGTGGGAACATTTTTTAATCCTCTTTCAGTCATTTGATTATCTTGTGGGCGTTTGGCTAGAAACCTTGTATATGAAAACATTCCAATTTTGTGTTCATCAGTTTTGTCATATTTTCAAGATTGTTTTTTTCTGTTCTTTTATATGTTATTGATCGGTTATTTTACTTTTTAAATTTATAATGTTCTTGTGTAATGTTATTAGTCTGTTGTTATCACCAATCTCGAGTTATTACTTGTCCTCGATCTTGTTATTGTAGGTAAATGCCTCTGGAGTTTGAGGGAAAAAAAAGGTATTTTTATCTTTTCAGTTTCTTGTGTTTGTTTGTGGAGTGTTTACTCTTCCTGTAGGGGGGATATTGCCTCAGACCCGCCCCCCTCTTCTCCTCACCTCCCCCTCTCCTCACCTCCCCCTCTCCCTCACTTCCATCTCCCCTCTATCCCCTCATCTCTACCCCAAAGGAAAATATAGTAGAGACAAGGGAAGATATTTTCATAACACATCTATATCTGTCATATCTATCTATCAATGTCCTATTTATCTGCCAATCTATCAGTCTTTGTGTTTCCATCCATCCATCTAATACACGTAATATATCATCCCCCTTCCTTGCTTAGTTTGTATTTTCATCAAACCTCAAAGTTTTCAACGAGAGGTACAAAAAAAACATGTTTGTTGATGTACCTCAGTGGACTGCCAGCCAAAGATGATGTGACGTCTGGTTTCTGCTACCTGATGGCTGGCTGGAATCTAATTTTGTTACTTCCTCCTTTGAGACCATTACTGTTTTATTTACATTCCAAAACAATTTCTCCTCACTTTGGTAGGCTCAGTGGGGAGTTTAGGCTTTGTTGGAGAAGAGCTGAGTTTATGTGAGTCTCCGAGAGGCTTTGGCGCTTTTGTTCACTGAAATGCCAAGTGTGTCTAAAATGTTCCCGTGTTGCGAGCCGAGGAGGTGAATGATTCCGTCAGGTTGGGCGGTCCATGAAGCGGGGCGGGGCGGGGTCGGGGCGGGGCATATTTCGCTTTTATCGGGAAGATGCCTCTCTCTCTCTCTCTCTCTCTCCCAGCCATACTCAACACTCCCTCTCTTTGTCTTCCTAACAGTACCGCCCAACAAGCCAGAGATCTACAATGCCACGAACCAGCTTGTGACAGGCAAGACGAGCGCTTCCATCATCGGGCCGTACAATGAGGGTGACCAGCTGGATCTCATATGCAAAGTCACAGGAGGTATGGTGTCTGTGTCTGTGTCTGTGTGTAATATTATGTGTTATTGTGTATGTGTCTATGTCTTAAGTTGTTTCTTTGTAAGTGTTTGTGTATTTTTCTGTGTTTGTCTATCTTCTGTGTAGGTTTATTCTGTCTGTGTATGTCTTTCTGTGTCTGTTTATATATCTGTCTATGTCTCTGTGCCTGTCTGTCTGTGTCTGTACCTCACTTCCGTTTTCTGTCAACCCAATAACCTGTGCTTCTCCTCCTCTTCAACCATATCCCTTATCCGTTCTCTCTATCTACCTCTTTATCTCCTCTCACTCTCTCTTATCGGTTCATTCCAGGCTCACTTGATTGCCTCCTCCTCATCTTCTAATTCTTCTTCTTCTTCTTCTTCTTCTTCTTCTTCCTCCTCCTCCTACCCCTATTCCTCTTGCTCTTTTCCTCATTAATCCTTTTTTTTACTATACATTACCTTCCTTTCTTTACCACCCAATTCCTTCTTCATCAAATTACTCTTCATTTATTCCCTCTAGACCCATCTCTCTGATCTCTCTCTCATTTGTATCTCTCTCCATCCCTTCCTTTAGTCCTTTATTTATCTTCCTTTTGTTCCCCCTTTTATTGTTTTATACCATGGCTATTGTTTGGACCCTTATTCAACCTCCTAATAACTCAGACTGGAGGTGCTTGTTTACATACACATTCCTTACTGTGGGTGAACTTGACTCTTCATGCTAGCAACACCCTACACGATCACATTTATATAGGAGGTGTATAGTATGTTTATAAAGTAATGCCCCTCTTATCACATTTCACTGACCATCACAAAAGGACTGTGTATTTTACCTCTTATGGATATCATCATTAGGAAATATTTCTCATTGTAGTAAGATTGTTTTAATGGAGAGTTAAACTGTTTTAGATTTCATGTTTTTAGGGTTTAGCTTTTGTGTCTTATTAGAGGGAAGGGGTGAGGGGTGAATGGGTGGGAGGTGGGAAAGGGGGGGGGAGTATTGGGGTTATTTCTGTAGTATCACTAACTGAATATAAACAGTATTTGTTTATTTTGTATTTTACTTCGATACTGCAAGTTGTTTACTGGGTGTTCATGTGCTGGGAGCTCACTCACTCACTCACTCGCCGCTTATTCACGGACTCACTCACTTGCTTTCTCATTCATGCAATCGCTTACTCGCCCGCTCACTCACCCAGTCACTTGCCCATTCACTCACTCACTCATCTGAGTTACTTGCTGCAACCTACGATGCAGTGTAATATGTTCATTCTGGGACTCGCATAATGACACACACACACACACAGACACATACACACACACACAGAAACATACATACATGCATACACACACATACATAGACACACACACACACACACACACACACACACACATAAACAGGGAACGACCTTTTTTTACTCCTGCATTGATAATTAAAACAATTATTTGTTTACTAATCGCTGTATCATATGTACGCTAATGCGCTCTAATTATAGGTGCACAACTGCTCTCTCTCTCTCTCTCTCTCTCTCTCTCTCTCTCTCGTGAAGATGTTTTTTGTAGGGAAGTGATTTGTTCCGTATAACAGTAAAAGGATTATGGGTCATACAACAGTGAATTATATATGACTGATGGGGGCAAAGACGAACTGGTGTCTTTATATTCGTTATGTCATAGAAAAAACATAAAATTGTAACCATTGACAGTGAAGACTTCCCAAAGCCCTCCCTCCTCTTGTGGCCAGGCGTCTCCTACGTACCCTGGTGTTCTTAGAAGGCTTCCTGCAAAACATATTAATGAACTCGACAAGTTTGAGAAGGAATGCTTACGCCGTTGTGGTGAAGTCAGGTCAAGTCAGGTCAAACTTAAACCATAAAAAAGGTGATCGCTGGAGCAAATTTCCCCGGTTTTGGGCGATTTTTTTTCTTCCTATTTCTGAATCTTACGTAAAACCTGAGGTGGTTTGAGGAGATATTTTGTCGTTTCTGGAGGTGATTTGTCGTTTCTAATTATTTTTGTCGTTATTGGAGGTATGTATTATTTTATGACCATCGTTTTTCATAATATTACTTATATTTTAGTAGTATTTCTTACCTGGTGGTCAGAGTCAGCAGCTGTGAATCGAAATCCCTCCCCGTTAAACCCTTTTTGTGGTATTGGAAACTGTGAATATTAAAGATCTGTTCGGCTCGCTTATAAAGAAAAAAAATCCCAACAGTATTATTCTGGTAAAGGCTTTGATTTCGGGAACGCCTGCCAGTACTTTTAACCATCATAACACAACTTTTACCTCGGTTAATCTAACAAACTCCGTAACCCGAGTTTTGGTTTCGTTAGCAGTGACGAGGAGTGAACACGATGATGCCAGAGAACTCGCGGCTAAAGGTGTATGCTTAGTTCTACCTGAGGCGCGCTTGAGTGACGCCACTTCAGACACTCTCCCACGGCACTAAACGTAAATATTCCATGATTGAGGAGTATTTGAAGATGCTTGATGATGAAACGACGGAGAAACAGAGAAAGATAATATACCGTCTCTTGTCTTTGATGACGAGGACGACACAAGATCTCTCTGGAGTTTATCGTGTCTTTGTGTGGTGTTTACGTCTGAATTTTTACGTTATCCAAACCTGAACATTAACTGAGACTCGTTTCTATTACTCTGAAGGAGGAATATTGCTACTCAAGACACACGCTACTATACAAGGAGGCCGTGGGGGATTTTTTTCTGCTTCTCTGCAGTGAAACATACGATGACAAATCTTATATGCAGGCGTAATTTGGCTCTCGGTGTTTATAAACATTAAATCAGTCATTCTTGTCGTCTTTATAACATTACTCAGTCGTAAAAAAAAGAACTAGTAGCATAATTCATCCGGTGGGGTCGAAGCAGAATACATTACTTACCAACAGTCATAACGTAGGAACAGTATGTCTCGTCGATCACCAATATGATGACCGTAATCACCAGACATAATATAACATTTCTCATTTACTGAAAACGAAACATATTACACCTGAATTTGAGACAGCAACCCAGGACCATTAAGATAAATCGCGGCGACATTACACTCACCCAGTACGGTCCCTGGCGGTGAGTAACGCCTTTTGTTTAATCACAACCTTCATTATTCACTGGAACTCCCGCGTGCTGCCCACTTACAATATTTTGCATAAATGTAAATGGCGTAACTATTCTCATTTGTCTTCCAGAAAAATAAGTTGCAAGTGGAGTTCATACGAGAAATTTTGGGGGTGTTTGTTCCCATCCAGAACGGGAATATAACTTTTTTTCCGGGAGTTTGTGTCGTTTTAAAACAGGAATATATATATATATATATATATATATCTTGATAAAATCACACGGGGAAACAACGGAGCACCTTAGCTTTTGTCTTTATTCAAGACATCTTCAGAGACAGGTGCTCCGTTGTTTCCCCTTTTTCCGGTGTGATTTTATCAAGATTTATCTTATCCACGTTTTCATTGTGGATCTACTGTACATTAACTTAGGTGTTTATTTCTTCATATTTTAGCAGTGAACTATGACCTCCATGTCTCCTACAGCAGTTAAAGCAAAGTATTCCTTGTCCAATTGCCAAATATACTGCCGACAATTTCTGACTTTTCATCATCATTCACGGTAATAAAAATAATTTATATAAATTAAACTTTTCATTGTTTATTTATATATTTCTTCTATGACAGTGCAATTAACCTGTGTTTTTTATACACCTGTCCGTTCATATATTTTACAGAGGAGGAAAATCGTTCAAATTTAGTTTAGTTTCAATTCTATTCATTTCATTATATATATCCCCCCCTTGTTCTTGGGTCATTATACTCCAGGAGGGAAGTGTGACATTAATGGCAGATACTAACTATGAGGAAGTTATTTTGTGTCAGGAATAGGTAATTAATGAGTCTCAGGTGGGGCTTGCTGCTGCTGTCACCTGTACTGGAGATTTAGTTCAGGTGTTTGTTAGTAAGTGTTCAGTTAACCTTGGTATTGCTAATATATCTGAGTCGTTGTTCAGTCTGTTGGGTGTTTTAGCTAGTCTATCAGTCAGTCAGTCATATAGTTTACTAGTCAGTCAGTCAGATGTTTTAGTTAGTTAAGTCATTCGTACTTTTATTGCGAGTCAGTCAAATGTTTTACTCAAGTCAGTCATATGTTTTAATTTGTCTCATATGATCCAGTTAGTCAGTCATAGATTTTAGTCAGTCATACGGTGCAGCTATTCAGTAAATAATAATGGCTCACCAGTAAATAATAATGGCTCACCAGCAAATCATACAAGTTCAGTCAAGTCAGTCAATCGTGTTCTCTCACCTAACCTAACCTAACCTAACCTAACCTAACCATAAGTCACCACCTCTAATGTCTACCCTCTGTAGTTGAATAAAAATCTATTGTTTGTTTTATCAATTCATTCGATGAAAAGAAAACAATTTATTATTTCATCGGTGTAAGCTTACGTGAGGAAAATGGTTTGTGGTGTATTTTTTCAGTCTTGTAAATTTATGAAGGAAAATGGAATGTATAATTTTTTCCGTAGTGTGTGTGTGTGTGTGTGTGTGTGTGTGTGTGTGTGTGTGTGTGTGTGTGTGTGTGTGTGTGTGTGTGTGTGTGTGTGTGTGTCAGCACTAAGTAAGCGTGATTAAAATGGTTTGCGGTGTGTTTTTTTTTTAAATTCTTAAGTTTATGAATAGAGACCAGTCTACTGAGTCTATTCCAGTGCACTAAGTTTATAGAAAGATTACGTTTATGTGTATTCCAGTAGTGCAAATTCACTAGACGAAGAGGCAGGCGACTTGGTGGTGCGTGCTGTTGGTATAAGCATACACAACAAAATTCTCTACCCTCAGTTGCAGGAACATAATGTCAAACAAAATATCCTTTAGTCCTCTCTAGTGGGATAAACCTTGAAACACGACACAGCCTAAATTGGGTTTTTCCTGCGGTCCAAGGTCGAGAGACAAGACAGTTTACCACGTCTTCTCCAGTGTGTGTAAAGTAGTGCCAAGACGAGAGTTTTTTTCAGTCTTTGTTCTTCCTCCAAAATGTGTACGACTGTGACACATATGTTTTTTAGCTTCCCATTGATGTCAGTTTATGGTGCAACATTTTTTATAGAACTTTCCGGAGAAAATAGTGAAAGTGGGTATCATAAGCATGACTTCCTACCTTAGTATTCATAGGCTACACCACACTGTTTATATAAAGCCTTCGGTACACAAGGAACCAGCATGGTCGACACTGCACTTCACGTCAGTTAGATACCATTTTACAGCTGGTTGGGCAGGGAAGGACCCAGAATCGAATCATTGACCCTTTAGGACAGAAGGCGAATGCTGTGTCCACTCGAGCATTACATCCCAAGGGCTCCTACATCTTCGTCTGTTAACTGAGGTCGTATTGGTTACCTCGTGTTGTCGGATAAGCTGGAGAGAAGCACCACCACCACCACTCGGGTGTGAGATGTTTCACTCAGCCTGTGTGTGTGTGTGTGTGTGTGTGTGTGTGTGTTATAACAACGACCCAGGCAGCGGTCTTTGTGTGTGATCCACGAATGTTGCAATACTTGCAAACGTAGCAAGGGGAAATTTCAATTATAACTTCCTTGTATGTTTGAGAGAGAGAGAATGCATACATACATACATACATACATACATACATACATACATACATACATATCTACACACACACACACACACGTGTGTGTGTGTGTGTGTGTGTGTGTTTCCCTGGATAAACATGTGTGTATGTGTGACGCCCCAAACAAGTAGGTGGTGTTTAAAGCCATTGTTAGTGTCGCCAGGCTGACCCACCCCCGCGCCCTGGCCTGACCTTGTCCTAGTTATGACCCAAATTATGTCATTTTGTCCCGGGTCATTATCCAATTAATATTCAAATTTTCATGCATTTGGTGTAATTTGTTATAAGGTATCTTACCGGGCTACATGCACGCTTACATGAAGGCCTGGCTTAATGCACAAATACAAACATGCACACGTATATATTCTGTATACAATGTATACTATACATACGTAATTTCTAGGTATTATTACAGCAAGAGAGGGGCTGGGGGGGTTGGGTGTGAGAGGGAGACAGACAGGCATTTATACATACACTACAGGACATGCAGTATCTATATTAAGGAATTCCGAGACCTTATTTCAACTTGCGAGGAACAAGGAGGTGGAGTGAAACGTGCTCAGAGGACGGAGCCTCTTACAGCGCTGGTTCCTCCGGGGTGTACATCCTTCACTCAGCTTTTTGAGACACCCTGGCGCCCTCACCAGCCGTTTCTAACTGGGGGTGAACCTGCCTGGGTGCCGGCCTCTTAAGATCACGCTCTGACCACCGGCAACACTTAAGTCGTGCTGCAGTTTGTGTTTTTCCCACCGATGTGAAAAACTACACCTGCTCATTCAGCTACACTTTAATTATATGCGGCCGCAGGTAAAGACATATGGCTGCGGGGTTAAGGTATGTCTGGCGGCGAGGTTAAGGTATGTCTGGCGGCGAGGTTAAGGTATGTCTGGCGGCGATATTAAGCTATGTCTGGCAACGTGGTTAAGGTATGGCTGACCGTGTTGGCAAATCTAGCATCACTTAACACAAGCGATGGCTAACCGTTGTACAGCTGGACATAAATGTGTCTTGGTGTTCTGACGGTAAATAGCTTCGTGACGAGTCTATGCAATTTGTAGAGACGAATGGCTGCGTGATACACCTTTGTACTCTGGACGGTAACGACTACTAATCATTCACACCTTCCCACGAATTCATTGCAGGATTTTACACACATACACACACACACACACTTACACACACACACACACACACACACACACACACCAGAATCCTTATTGCTTTTGATTAAGAAAAAATCAAACCCAATTGTTACCTAACCCATATGATATTCAATTTGGTCGCCGGTAGATCATTATATTGAGTACGGAGAAACCCTCGTGTCCAAGAGGTCAAAAAATACTCATAGGTAATAAAAAAAAAAACATCATAAATACAACAGGAATTCCATACACCTACCTTGTTTTATAGCAGTTGTACAACACGCATACACACTCCGTTTACCTTCCACTTTGTTCCTCTTAATTGCGCCTCAGAATCATTCGTTTAATGTGAGTTGTGTTCATTGGGACATGAAGGAAAGTAGTAGAATTTTTTTTTTTTTACTTGAAATGAATCAGGTGTTGTATATTACAGACAGGTAAATGGACTGTTCTGGTGGTTGTTGTTTGTGAATTTATGTACGTCTCTTTGGAAGGTCTTCAAGCATGTGCATTATGTAAGGTCTTCAAGCACGTACACTAGGTAAGGTCTTCAAGCACGTATACTAAGTAAGGTCTTCAAGCACGTACACTAAGTAAGGTCTTCAAGCACGTACACTAAGTAAGATCTTCAAGCACATACATAAAACCACTTCATATAATAGACAACAAGCATAAAGAGCTTCGTCTTGGTGGAAAAACATCGTATATATCTACATAATAAATATTGTTTACCTCAGACTCTCAAGATCTCTGAGGTGTAAACACTTGTGTATATGAATAACTAAACGACTCTTATACAGAAACTCAGATCATTGGCGAGCCCCACACACACACACACACACACACACACGATAAACGCAGCACACTGGGAAGACTCAAAAGCCATTTACAATACAGCAGCTGCCATTAAGAGAAAGACGTTTCATTCCACCCCCTAACCTAACCTAACCAAACCTAAACTAAACTAAACTAAACTAAACTAAACTAAACTAAACTAAACTAATACTAAGCTCATGTCCCCCTGCAGGTCGGCCGGCCCCTCTGATACTGTGGCTGGTGAACGACGAAGTGAGACGGACGGAGGTCGTGGAGGAGGAGGAAGGAATCCTCAGCGCCTCCGTCAGTGTACCAGAGCTCACCCGTAGGCACCTTCACGCCGTGTTCGAGTGTCGCGCCTTCAACTTCAATGGCTCAGATCCTGTTACCTCTACAGTCACCCTCGATATGAACTGTGAGTATTACCTGAGTGTTACTTGAAGTTTGTAGGTTTTGTTGTGTCTCCTGGTTAAATACTGGTCACACTCATTGTCTCGTTCTCTTCGTGTTTGTTACTCGTATGTTATTATTATTATTATTATTATTATTATTATTATTATTATTATTATTATTATTATTATTATTATTATTATTACTGTGGTCTGAACTAGTGTATTGATCAGCACGAAACAGCACTTGGCCCGTCTGTACTGTATATGGATTTGGACTATTTCATGTGAATTAGTCTCCACTTGGAAAACTGTCCCATATCACTTTGTCTCAGCGCACGCAACCAAAGATTTCTCAGAAACTCTACTGTACTCTATCAGCGAAAGGGGTCACAATAGGTACGATCAGATACTGTTTTAGAGGCAATGTAAGGCGTACAGGAGACGTTAATGTCGTGTTTCTAGTGATCTAAACCACCCAGAGATGCACAGCGGCAGTCCCCATGAGCGTGTTTCCTCGCTACACCGCCCAGCTCCCCAAGTACTACCACACTTGTAATGAATTGTGAATGTTATATATCGTTCCCCTCTACACCAGGGCCATTCTGCTGATGCTCCCAGAAGTAAAATATATAAAACTTGACCATAATTCATCGCGATTGAAACCCATGGTGGCGTTACTTTATTTTACGGTCTCATGAAAAATGGAGAACAAAGAAAAAGGCCCCCAAAATTTGGCCTGTAATACACCTTAACGCCAGAGCAGGAATGCCAAAATTCCGTCTTAATAGTGGAGTGATGGCGGTAAGTCACGGCCAGAACACAGCTATTGGCGGCGACTAATGAAATAGGTTGGCCTCGTGCTGGGCTTTTTTTTCAGGATCGAGGTTGATAATTCTCTTACAGGACAAGAGCACCTTACCTCTTGGTTATGGGGAGGAAGGGGAGGGAAGGTGAGAAGAGGAAGGGAGGTGGAAGGACAGGGCAAGGTAATGGGAAAGAAAGGACAAAGGAAAGGGTAAGGAGAGGACCGAGTGTTGAAGATGGTGTTTCAGGGGGTGAGGATAACTACCTTCTTTTAAGGGGGGGAATATGGAGAGCACTGGAGGAATAACAGAAGGAAAGGGCAAGGGAGGGAGGGAAAAAAAGCCCCTTCTGGTCTAGCAAAAGAGGGGAGGAAGAGGGAGAATGGGAGAGGAGGAAAGGAGAGAGGGAGGGCCAGGTAATCATTCTGTGACAGGAGGAACACTGGTGCTGGGAGAGAGGTAATTACCCTGCCTGTAACTTACTGAATGTGAGGGAGGGACTGTCCTTGATGCGCTGGGAGGACGGTGGGGAGGAGGAGGGACGGTGGACGAGGAGGGGACGGAGGAGGAGGGAGGACGGTGGAGGAGGGGGGACGTGGACGAGGAGGAGGAGGAGGAGGAGGAGAAGGGAAGGTGGATGAGGAGGGGACGGAGGGAGGAGGAGGGGGGACGGTGGACGAGGAGGAGGAAGAGGAGGAGGAGGGAAGGTGGACGAGGAGGGGGGACGGAGGAGGAGGGGAGGACGAGGACGAAGAGGGGCAGAGGAACAGAGGACGAGAAGGTGAAGGAGTGACGGAGGAGGAGGAATGGTTGATGAGGAGGAGGGAAGATAGGAGAAAGGGTAACTGATGACTAAACAGAAGAGTAAATAGAAAATACGATAGATTCAGAGAGAGAATGGAATAAAACAAAAGATAGGTATATAGAAAGAAAAAATGAGTAGAATAATACAATGTAAAAATAGACGAAAGAGAGATAGAAACAAAAGAAAGCTAAGGAGTTAAACAATAAGAAGATTTAAAACAAAAGCATATTTCAAAACCATCACCACCCCCACCCCTCCCCCTCTCCACCCTTACTTCCCAAACCCCTCCCACCCCTACCACTCCTTCCCCTCCTCCCACACGTCAAGACAAACACCTCGCTCGCCCAGCATCGTTCGTGTGTTAAATGGAACGCCGCCCCGCCCACGTTATCAAGACAAACTGGTGATCCGTGTCTCTCTGTTATACATTCTATTTAGGTAACTGCAGGTTCTACATTGTCCATGTATACACACACACACACACACACACACACACACACACACACACACCTATACTTATACATGAAGGCAGATTGGGAAAATATATGATACAAATATTGATGTTACAAAGAGGTAGAATTTTTTACCATACAAACATATCACCGCGTCAATGTGTTTGTTGTTGAATTTCCCAAACTGAATTTAGCGTCAGAGCAATCATCAGCTCTAATGGGCCAATAACCATTAGTGCGGACATGACAATTATGTCATGTTTTGAGCCTTGTTCTAACCGCTACAATTTGCCTGTTCAAAGCAATTAGTGCCGGGCTAATCCCACACAACCGTGTTACCTCACCACCCAATCCCCAATCCGTCGTTGTTAGTATTATTACAAGTGTATCACCCTCGTATACCTCCCCCCACTCCAAGCCGCCATTACGGAGGCTGTTGTGGTGGCGGGAGATTAGTGTAAACTCTCACGTTGCACCTGAGACGTTTAGCAAGCGGCTGGTGGGTCAGGTGTGTGGAAACAAACAACGAGCAGTCAAGATGCATCACAAGGGCGTATTTACCTTCTTCTATGATGCTCTCTGTTGTAGTTATGTCTTAGTGGATATCATGTCTGGCTGGACCGTTGATTGGCTGGACTCCTGGCTGGCTGGACCGCTGGCTGGCTGGACCGCTGGCTGGCTGGACCGCTGGCTGGCTGGACCGCTGGCTGGCTGGTTGGGTTGCAGGACGTTTGGTTGTGAAGACTCGGGACCTATGGCTATACATCTTGAACTTAACAGAAAGTATACAGTGGTGGCCCCTTCCTTCCTCTCCTCCAATTTCCCTTCCTCCCTCCTCCTCTCCTCCAATTTTCCTCCCTCCCTCCCTCCATCCCTCCTCCTTCTCCTGCTCCATCCTCCTTCTCTCCCCTCCATCCTTTCCTCTCTTTTCTCTATTTATTTCTCTCCCTCCCTCCCTCCCTCCCTCCCCTCCCTCCCTCTCCCTCCCTCCTCCTCTCCATCCCTCCCTCCCTCCCACTAGAACACAATGTGCACTAATTTAGATGTGGACCACTTCCCGGTGCTGCATACCGTTAGTAGCCCAGTTGATAACGGTACTGTTGTTGCCCCCCCCCCCTCCATTTGTTTTGCTGTCCTGACTGTTACTACTGTTAGGTATGTAAAATTATACACTGTTATTGTTATTGTCAGATACCCTGTTGTTGTTGTTGTTGTCCCGTTATTTTCGTACTGTTGGTTGTAAAAGTTTGATGCTGTTATTGTTGTCAAAGTTCTTGTTGCTTTTGATAGTTCCTGTTGCTTTTGCTAGAGTTCCTGTTGCTTTTGCTTTAGTTCCTGTTGCTTCTGTTGTCAGGCTTTTATTTAGTACTGTTGGATGTGTAAGTTAGATGCTGCTGTCACACCTGTTTGCTGTGTCGGGGGTAATTAACGTGGGAATTACACCTGTTATTCTGTACGTCTTGATGTTCTTGTTCCTCTTATTCATGTTTTTCTTATTCTTGTTGTTGTTCTTCTTCGTTGGTGTTATTATTATTATTATTTTCTTTCCTCTTCTCGCTTTTCTTTATTACTTACTTTTTCTTTATTACTTACTTTTTCTTTCTTTCTTTTTTCTCTTTTTTTTTAGTTCTTCTTTCATTTTATTTCTTTCATTTTCTTCTTAAAGTGTAATTCTATTGGCTCCTCTCTTCTCGGAAAGGAAGAAGCGAATACTGTACTGAGAGAGAGAGAGAGAGAGAGAGAGAGAGAGAGAGAGAGAGAGAGAGAGAGAGAGAGAGAGAGAGAGAGAGGCCTGTACTCAGCTTTCTGTGTGTCTGTCTTTGAAAGAGGGCTGACAGATGGAAAGACAGACAAATAATATATCTGTAGTCAGTGTGTGTGTGTGTGTGTGTGCGTGTGTGTGTGTGTCTTAGGTAAGTTAGGTTAAATCCCATCGCCAATACTGTAGTTTACACTGAATTTTAAGAGTTATGCGCCAGATATATCGGAATATGAACGTACGTAATAAAAAACGTTCCCTCTATAGAAAGTCTTCAGATGCCTCCTTCAGCTCCTTAAGTGTCCTTCAATTTTACGGAATATGAAATACTTTGGACGTGTAATTAGGGATGAGGGGATGGTGGGAGTGGTGTTAATGGGTAAAAATGAAGGCAGGAGAGCCAGGAGGAGGCATAAAGTGGAATGAATGAATGAATGAATGAATGAAACTTAAAGCTGTAGTCCTCGAAGGATTGAAAAAGATTGCCTGAGTGTGCTTGGAGGTTGGTATCCGTGGTCACCAACACGCAGATATAAGCATAAAACTTTGATTGATTGGTGTTAGTTCTGTACTGTCAGTCGTTAGTTATTGTGATTTACGTTTTAGGCTTTGTTAGTCAGCCCAATTCCCGTTGATCTTGGTTGGCTTTCCGGCATAAGAGTGTGTGTGTGTGTGTGTGTGTGTGTGTGTGTGTGTGTGTGTGTGTGTGTTAAACATCAGTCACTCGGTAATATCTTGGGACTTAAGATCATCTGTGTTGGGATGTTTTTCATATATCTCCCCAGTTATGAAGGTCTTTGACCACCCAGTCGTGGAGTAAGTGGCTGACGGCGCCGCCTCACCCATCAGCCTATCTTTCCTCCTCCGTGTGCCTGCACCGTGACCACCACTACCTCCTCCCGGAGACCCCTCACACGGCAATTTCCAGCGACAGGTGCAGCCACGAACTCAAAAACGTCTCAAGCTTGACGCATTGCAGCTTATTTGAGACCTCGAGAAATGCAAATATATCCATTTGGAGATGACTTTAGCCGCGCAGGTCAGGCGGGCGTTCACCTAGAGAGTTGAGATCAAATATTTGATGGGGCGGCTGAGGCTGTGTGTTAGAGTGAGGCGAAGGGGAGGGGGGACCAGCAGTTGCTTTGCTCTAAGTGGGATATCCAGAAAACTCCTGAAGCATAGCATAAGAAATTCCGCCATTAGA